ATCTAAAATGCACATATAATATTTGCGTATGATCAAATATATGCTTAAACTGTTATTAGAAAATAGAATATAAATCGGTATTGTTGTCACGGATAGCAATAACTATGTAACATTTCTCATAAAGTCTTTGTAGCTGTATTTATGTAACTTTACTATTAGATGTCTTTGCTGCAAATGTTCACTAACGAATATATCGTAGTTCATAATTAATATTCATGGCAGTAGTACCTGATGTAGTTAGATCGCACATCGATCAGAGTCGAGTTCATCATTACTATAAAAATAAGAGCAAACATCATCTCTCGAATATTAATTTGAAAATAATGTTAAGCTCAGTATACAACGAAATAAGATGTAGTAAAATTTGCTGTTTCTATGTTATACAATCGTGTTAAAACAATATTTTTATTTAAATACGTCTGTGCTACGTCTACCTCTTCTTCTCTAGTTTGTTTTGCTCTAATTTCAGATCAAATCACAAATCAGAATAAAATAAAATTGTAGTTTCAACTATCAAAATGCATTTAATAAGTTGATGAAACATTTGTGATTGTCTACGCATATACTTACATATATCTATGTGTTTTGTTTCAATAAATTTAAACAATAACGTGTATCTAAATTAAAATCTTTATTATTATATCAGAAAACTAAACAAGAAATCAATTTGAAACCTTTGGGAATAATAAAAACATAACATGCTATTAACTTATTCTTTGCATTCAATTTCTTATTATGTTACTGCTTCGTTTCCCTTAGGGTATAGTATTTAGGGGAGAGTTGGTTATATCGTACTAGCATTTAAATCGTACCACTTCTAAATTTCCCATTTAATGAATATTTTTTTCTACACTGACAACGCCAAATCGTGGCCCTGCACCATCCCTCTTCACCACTAGTTTAAATCGACGTGAGTTAACAACTCTGCAAGTAATAAAAGAAAAACATTTTTTGTAGGAATTAATATAAATATTGTTATACATTCATAAAGATATACTTCGTAATCAAGGTAAGCTATAGTTATTAATTTTTTTTTATTATTCCACAATCGTATACTAGATTATTGGGGGTTTTTGTTGCGTGTCTAAGTTTTGAGTTTTAACCGGATATTTGCTTTTGTTTTAGAAATGCCTTAGTTGGTTTAATCGTACCACTTGCAGTTGGTTAAATTGTACCTACTGGTACGATTTACCCGACTACCAACCGCAAGTACCTGTAGTACTACCGCAAGTACGTATAGTAAGTACTACCCAAGGCCAAAAACAAAAGTTATAAGAGGAAACGATCTCATTCCATCACCAGTAGCGATGATTCAGGAGAGACACTTGTTGTAGAACTAGATGATGATGATGACAGCGAATCATATCTTGAAAATATATGTCGAAAGTGCAATTGTTCTTACTACGATAAGAAGGGTCCAAAAGTTGATTGGATTCAATGCGTTCGCTGTAAACGGTGGCTACATGAGACGTGTAGGTACTTCGAATCCAGACATTTGTCACGATTGTTTCCATTAAGAAATATGCACAATAATTATATTACAAATAACATTCTTGTTAACTGTTACTTTATTATTATAGTTTACTGTTTTTTTTTGTCTCATTTTTATTAGTTATGTTGATTGATTTCATTATCATAGTATAATCATGTTATTTTACTGAGAAAGCTTATAGTTCCTTTATATAACCTAAGAGTTAAAAATTATGTTTCTATTACCTAAAAGATATAAATAATGTTGTTTTATTACTTACCTAACAGTTAAAAATAAATAATTTGATTGAGAATTTTAATGTCTTTCATTCAGTACTACGACTTAAACACCCATGGTACGATTTAAAGACTTAGTGGTACGATTAAAACGACTAGTCGGCTAAATCGTACCGATGGCAAGCCTCTATAAAAAAGCATTTTTAACAATGTTAGAATAATCGCAAGGATCTGTTCTCTTCTTCCTAGGAAGCTAAAATATGAAACTTTATTTTACATATGTATTAATTATTATAAGGCGTGTTATAGTCGAAATATTTGAGTTAAAGTGAAAAGTGGTACGATATATCCGACTCTCCCCTACCTGTTCCATTACAGTAGATACTAACTCTGTTCCACGATCCGTAGCTATGGTGTTTGGTATCCCGAACCTTAATATAAAATTATTAACTAATACTTTTGCTATACTTACCGTGTCTTTATTTTTTAGAGGATAGGCCTCTACGAACTTAGTCAATTCACATTGAAGTGTTAAAATGTAGCAATTGTCTTCAATGTCCCTTTGCAAAGGTTCAACGACGTCAAGATAGATCTTTTCAAAAGCATGTGAAGCCGTTGTAGTTATGTCCATGGGGGCCTCGACATACCTACAATGTTTCATTTTTTGACATTGAACGCACTTGCTAACAAATGTTTTAACATCTTTATCCAAGCCTGGCCAGTAAAATTTTCTTTTAATATTATTGGTCATTCTACGCACGCCTGCATGACATGCGGTGGATAGTAAATGAAAGTCATGTAATATGTATTTTCTTTCTTCCTCGTCATATATTCTTTTAACTCCTCTTAGAACATAAATACGTGAACCACTCCAGTGCTTACGTTCTTTTATTTCTTTTAACATTTCTTTAATGAAATTTTTAATTTCATTATTCTTTACTATGCATAGTTCATTTATTTTTCTAGTCTTACAAAATTCTCCTAACTTAGTCACAAATTCGGCTCGCGTAAATTGTGCCCTAAAGTTAAGATTAATATATATTTTTCTACGTAGACTATAAATGAAATATTCTTTTTCTTCGTATAAATTGTCATTATTTTTCAATTTATTTAACTCCTCATTATTAATAAAAGTCATTTCTACTGAGTCATATGGTATCTTTAGCACCTCAACTACTCGTGGTCGATCAGGCCACGATTCGTTAGGTTTACTAATTTTAGATGTATTATCCTGACCGACTTCATTTTCTAAACGTCTCTTTTGGCCTCCAGTCATAACTAAAAATATTTCTTCGTTTATTTGTTTTAAAGTGTCCGATGTTACATTAATTCTAGACAAAGCGTCCGATACGCTAGTATCCTTACCTTTTACATATAAAATTTTAAAATCGTATTCTTCTAGTGCTAACCTAAACTTAAGAAGTCTACTTGAGGGGTCTTTCATTGAGAATAGATATAATAAAGGTCTATGGTCTGTCATAATCGTACAAGATCTACCACATACATATGGTCTAAAGTATTTTACCGATACAACCTGCAAGGAAATCATTATTAGCTAATTGCTGACTGTGGATCACACAGTCATTTTCCGAATCATTATCCAAAAGTAAGTAATAAAATGATTCACAACGCGCAGGTATAAGTAAACTTTCATTAGAATAATTCAACGAATCATAAAGCGGGAAGGAACATTCCATTCCATATTAGTTTAAGGTAATGGAATTGTTTTCAAAGTTGATAGGTACTTGACACGTAGCGACACAGAAAATCTAAACCTAAAATACCATCAGCCTTTAAAGGTAAATTGTTGAAAACATGTAGCCTTATATTAAAGTGAACATGAAACTGTTCTTCACGATGATATAAGAAGACATCAGTGTAACCTGTGGACTGTATTTTACCTCCAATACCATTTATGATAGTTTCGTCTCTAATTACTTCACTGTTACTGGGTAACGCCTGTTTCTTTATTACGGATAATGATGTCCTGTATCTACCAACCAAAAATATTTTCTATTGCTAATAAAAAACGATGAATATTTAGCTTTGCCATTTAATGCCAAAAAGTTATGTTTCAACTTGAAAAAACTGCATTTCACTATTATTATCTGCGTTTACGGGTTGATTTTGTGAATGTACTTCTGAATAAAACAATCTGTTTCTATTGCCACTACCACGAGATATCGAACTCGATCGATTTTCGTTCGAACCTCGTCCGCGGTTCACTTTATGAAAATGAGGTCTACTATGATAAAATGTTTGGTCGCGTGGAAAATTATTACTTCGATTATTAAAATAACTGGAATTATTTGGCTTACCTGAGTTATTTTCTGGGAAATATGATCTGTGGCCGCGAACCTGTTGTTTAGTATGGGAATTGAAATGAGAACGTGACTTACCTCTTCCACGAGTGGAGATAATATGCATGACAGCCTACTTTTTAAAACAAATGCAATAAGTAATTTTTGACCTGACAATGACAACATATCCCAAAACATTTCTATAGAGTCAATGATACCTTTAATGCTGTTTTCATTATTATTCATAACAGGAATTAAATTACATGCTGTTTTCATATCGAACTCCATTTTAAGTTCAGGATTCTCACGTTTCGGTAGAATCACTGTCACTACTACTCATATGACATTTAGACTTAGAACATAAATTTATAATTTGTGAGTAGTATGACTTTATTTCATCGCTTATTGAAGCTATGAATGTAAGAGAGCTTAGGCTTTATTTCCTTAGAAGCAATACATTTGATTATATTTGAACTTTTCTCAAATAATTTCTCAGTTTCCGCTAACTTATTTTCTAAACATTGCCTTGATATCTTAGCTTTTCCTTCTTAATTAAATATTTTCTTATCAATTTAATTTCATCTAAACATTTAACTAATTCATCTTCCATTCCCTTTTAACAACATGTTAATAAAAGAAATACTTACCAAATATATTAACTCACTTGAGTACTTACCATGGTAGGGGCTACGACCTGATACATTGCAATATGAAACTCTTAGTGTACATTATACATACTTAATCGATTAAATAATATTAATAATACATGTATCCTAAATTTATTTTACTAGATTCTACACTAATTCGTAAAAAAAAAACTTTAAAGTTTATAAATAGTCATTTTAACAGTTCAAAGTTTATTTCTGAAACTCCATTGGATCACTTTACAAAACACTCACGCACTTCTTATTAATATTAAATATAAACACCTGGTTTTCACGCTCTCTCCCCGTAATTCTAATGCCGTCATTGGGTGCTCTCCACTAGTTGGGTATGTCTCTTGCGCGGGATCTGCACATCGCGGACTGGATCAGCACATGGTTAGATTTTTTTTTTTGAATAAAACAGTAAAGAAGATCAAACTTAAATTGCTACATATTGCTTTATTTTCAACTTTAATCCAGTTCTTCAACTCATAATCCGATTTTGGAGCTGCAACACTACACCGCGATCAAATTCGCGTCGCGCGCCCCAAATATGGCAAGGGTCGCCATGACGGGACTTATGTTATTGAAACGAGTGTGTTTGGAGGAAGATGATTTATTACTGAATTACTAACGCAACGATCTTAATATTTATACATCTGACTTACATACTACTTATTACACTACACAATTAATTCTAAGAATTATAGTATAATACAATTAGAATGGCACAGATGACGCCACTTGTAACACTATTCTTGTTATTTACATGTTTCAGTTCTACAACCATAATAATGTATTAAATAAAATACCTTTAATAAATTTTCTAAACAATCCGACATTTTCTACGTTTGTATGTATACAAATATTAATAGTATGAAAGATAAGTCACAGTATAATACATCATATGAGTCACATCATGTACACACACATTAGTATTTAATTGATAGCTTAAGACTTTGAATTTGAAGATTATATTTACTCATGTTATATTATGTTTTGTGTTTATAACAAACTCATTTGAAGGATGTATATACGGAGTCCCAAAGTGTTATTATCTTCATATATATAAGCTTAACAAGTACAAGTATTACTGCTTAATCAAAATCAAAGACAATACAATACATCCACAATAACTGTAATTCATTTCAATTCAACAATAATAATTTTCTTTATGATAAATGCGGTTTATATAAATATTATAAATGAAAACAGTTCAAGGTAAATCTATTATAACAAAAACTTTTAGCCCCCTCTAGTGGCATAACAGATACTATTCTTTTAAAAACTAATTAATCTAGAGAAAAAGGTATGATAAGCATAACTAGTACATACAGAAATAAAACATTTAAGATGGGCAATGGTTTATCAGATTATAAATAACAATAAAGTAATTGCATCGTATCAGAGAAGTATATCAAGTACAAAGATTGGATTAAATAAAATATTATGATCCAAAAGATATTATATATAAAAGTTGTACAGTAACTGTTAAAGATATTGTTTGACAAGTGTAAATTCAATATAAAATAACTAAGTAGCAGACAAGCTGGAGATGTGCTGCTAGGCCGGCTGTGTTCATTGTTAGTTTTCATCTAACACTTGATGATCAGCCGTCATCTCCTGATGGATGAATCTCAAGTACAGTCCAACAACACCATCTGTAATACATAATACAATATTGTTCTTATATAAAGACATACAAAGACACTTACTTCACTTCAATTATTGTCGGTTTAAAATAAATTATAAAATGTTAAAAAAAAATTACAAAAACACTCTTATAAAATAACAAACTAAAAAGTAGCATATTTGTAATTATTATGCATTCACTTGAATATAAATGAATGATTAACAAAATATAAGTGTTTTTATTTTATTAATCATTTATTTATTTTCAACTCATTAATTCTGCTAACTAGATGGTTTTGTTTTGTAAACCATTATTAATAGCATGATGACTGTTAGTGATTGCAATTATTATCAAATCCCAACTAATATTATAAATACGAAAGTAACTGTCTGTTTGTTTGTTAAGTTTTCATTCCTAACCCGCTGAACCGTTTGTGATGAATTTTAGTATGGATATAAATGAAGCCCAGGAAAAGGACTTGGGCTTCTTTTTATCCAGATTATCCGTTGACACAATCCCGACCCCAATCCCAATACTACGCGGGTGGAACCATGAAGTGGAAGCAGTTCAGGTTCAGTGGTCATAGTGACAGAGAACAACTGTGATGTACACGCAGACGGAGCCGCGGGCAAGAGAAAGTTACTATTATAATTACAATCTTTCATTTAATTATTTAATCATTACGACGTGTCGGAAGCATTCAGTTAATGAAATAAAAATAAAAATATTGAATAAATGAACATAAACAATGATTCAATCTTACTATAAATAATTAAAGAATAATATTAAACAATCAACAGTACATACCGTAAAACTACTATCGTACATCAGCTACATACACTTCTCTTCATAGAAGGTTTCCTCTCGTCCGCAGACCACGTCCTAACAGACGCTCCACCAACAGCTTCGACCCTCATCTTGAATTATATATTCTTACGAGTCCTGGAACGTTACAAAAAATATTATTTTTATAAAGACAATACATTAATTGTTAACAAACTTACCAAATTACATTAAGAAGTCGCATTTTAGGGCGTGGCCGAAAATTGTAAAGATAATAGTTAAAATAAAAAAAGGAAGCCATCAAAACGATAACGTTAAAAAACCCTGCGCCCAATGTATGTAACGCTTAGAAAATAATTCAAAATTCTTACTACGTACTACACAATAAAATAAACACTAATATCAAACAAAACTAAAAACGTTACTCAATAAGTATAAGAACTTATAATGTAAGTAATGCCAATAATATAAAATATAATAATTAGATATATTATGTAAAAAAAAACACCATGAAGCATCAGCATTAGAAAAAGACATCCGTTACGAGGAACTAGGAAGACCGCGGCCGGCTGCCAGGAGACGAGGGAGCGAAATGAATGTTTTATAAATATTGATATAGTTAGTTATGTTTAATTATGTATACAGTAGTATCTCTAACGATGGGACTAATAGTTGTCATAAGGGATTTCAGATTATCAATTAATTGATGAGAAGACATTTTTGAACATCTTAGGTTTAAACCAGGATTAATGTTTATTAAAAGACAAAAAATATACATATTTGAAGAAAATATGAAATAAATCTCGATACTTGCAAATCCAGTGAATCTGTGGTTTAAATTTATATTGTATTTAAAATGCTTTATGCTGTTTTATAATTTAAAAGTTAATACAGCAATCATAGTTAATATTAAGCTTAGTTATATGCTTGTAACTTACTTTTAGGAAATAATTGAGAATAATTAGGAGAACTCCTTTGTAGCTGAACTTGATTCATATTTAAATCCAAGTCGTGACTACAATATGCGTCATTGTCTTCTTTTGGTGTATCAATGCATTTTTCAGTTTCAACAGAATGTGATGAGTGTACAGTCTCAAATGTTGATGCTGCTAAATAAAATATATTTTTTACTACAAATAAATATATTAAAAGAAAAGTTAATTGAAAAATCTTAAAATTTAATGATAACATATTGTCTTGATTGTATCTTCCTTCCTCGTTTCTTTTAGAGTTTCTGATTGGATGTAAATAGACTTGTAATTTTTACTGAATTAAACACTGCCATTCTTAAATTACATAAAAAACTATAAACAACTTTTTTTGGTTTGTAGTTATCCAGTGAAATTATAATCTCTGCATATTTAGAACACTTTGTTTTTGTTTTGCATATGTAAAGAAGTGACACAAGTAGTTATTTCGCGATACTGTTTGTAGGAACTTTCCTTTATTTAGATAAAAAAAAGGTAATAAAGACTGCACATTATAAATCTATCAAACCACATGTAAGTATAAAAATGTTAAGATGACTTGTACACCTATTTCATTATATTCAATTAAATCTAATTTTTTTGTTTTTAATTTTTAATTATGAGTATCAATTTCTAAAATAATAATAATAATAATGTAAAATATCTATAGTTATAAAATATAATTGATTATTTATAGTTATTTTATATTAGTAGTATGTATTGTGTGCCTATAACTACTTGGGAAGTTGCTTACTTTAGATACTTACTTAAATATAGAGTTGGTACAACATTTTGAGTGAGTCATTTACTTAAAGAACGGTAAAACTGTTCAAAATGACGATCACATATTCTTATGTTGTTATAAATGTAAGAATCTTCCTTTTGTTTCATGTCTTCATTTAAAATATTTTTCCATTGAATGAATTTCTCCAAATTTGGGTATTCAGGTTTAGGTAATGGATGAAAAGGACCTGAAATGTTTTTTATTAGAAGTCAATAAACTCTTACGATTGAAATTGATGTAACAAGAGTAGTAATTGATTGTATATATGACAAATAATAATTTTATTGATTTTACTAAATAAGTATCGTATCTTTAGTCGCACACCAAAAATAACACTTAATAGCCGATTTTCGTGGCATTTTTTCAACTTATCGATAATCCAAATACGTAGTTTGCAATCAAAATCCAAATGAGAAGAGCCGGGGTCGATCGTAGTCGCAGAAAACAAAGTCCAATCGAGAAAAGCCGGGGTCGATCGTCAAAAGCGTGGAAATAAGAGTCAATGATATATTAAGCCGGGTCAAATGTTGGAAAAAGAACGTACAGCACAAGAAGAACAGTAAACAAAGGCAAATGAACAACTGAAATAATTTAAAATATGTCCTAATGTCAAATCAATTTGAGAGCTACTTAAGAATTAAGATATTATCTATGGAGTTATAAAGAAAAATAGTGTCAAAGTTGTTTTACCTCGTTCGTTAGATGGCAGCATTTTTTATACATTATTTTCTTACACGGTAATTATATGACAGTTTCATCCAGTGTTGCCAACCGTACAATTTGAATCGTATTTATACGACCTTTTTGACTCTTGTACGATGTACGATCGAGTTATCGAAATCGTACGCAAAATATACGATTTTTTTAAATGAAGTCTTACGAAAAAATAAATCTCCAATAAAACTATAAGGAATGTGTAAAACTAAACTTTAGTACTATAACTAACTATATTTAGTACTATACTATAACTAATAAGGAATATGTAAAACTAAACTGTATTTCAGAAACGGTAAATAAAAATTTGTTAGCTGCACAACATATTAAAGAAAAAGGATCGTGTATAAACTTGATGTATGTATGTACAAAAAATATAATGCTTTTCCCGCATCTGCTGTGCCTAATAATTCAGATAGTGACTAAAGCAATTTTTTTTTTCTGTTTTCAATATATATGTAATTAATGAATATCTTAATTCCACATATTAATTGATGATAAATGTTATTTGAAAATTACAATTAAATTCCATTTATATTTGATATACTTACGCAATTTTATTGAAATTTCATCGCGTACGCTTATTTTCTCGACTCTCAAGGCGAAATACTATTTTTTTAGTCTGTACGATCCTCTAAAAAACAAAGTTGGCAACACTGGTTTCATCCCCATTCGCATGATTCTTAGTGTGGCCAACCTGACGGCTCGTTTATTGTTTTTAAATTTTATTAATTTACATTTTATGATTTTAC